TGTTCCATCTCATTTCCCTTTGGGGTTGCTGTAGGTGATCTGAAAGTCTGTTTTTGAGGCTTGTTTTTGTGTTTTTTCATTTTGACTCGGGGGGCAGCTGTTGGTGCCTGCATGGATTACTTCCTCTGAGCTGGGAGAGGTGGGACAGGGGCCCAGGGCAGTGGTAGGGATGGTGGCCCAAAAGCCCTTTCCTGTGGCCTGGGAGCAGCGGGAGGGATGGTGGCTGGGAAGCCCCTTCCTCTGGACCAGGAGCAGTGGGATGGCGACTCAGAAGCCCCTACCTCTGGGGCAGGAGCGGCGGGGCTCAGTACTGTGGTCTGGTGGTCCGGCGTCCTCTGCATCTTTGTAGTGTGGAGCCAGGTGGCTGTGCAGAGGAGCAGATGTGTGTGTGTGTGTGTGTCCAGTGGATTGTTCCTGAGGCTTGGGCTGATTCGGTGTGTTCTGCTGCGACTGATGACCTCGGTAGGGCGTGCGCAGACTTGCCGGTCTACAGCGGGCTGATTCAGCATGTTCCGAGCGACTCTTCATTCTTGTTTTTTTAGCAGTGCAACTTAAATACTTGAAATGGGCCCCAAATTAGTGTTGTGTATAGTAGTATTTATCTTTAAGAAATTATCTTTGAATGAGACCTAGCTTTTCAGTATTCTGTGGTTCACAAAATACTGTACCTACTGTGGAAAATGCAGACTGTTTAGCACGGATGAAGAAGAGAACTGTAGTTTCCTCTTTGCTTCACTGCCATAACATTGTGCCTCATGTACCTGAATGAGTTCATGTTTCCAAGCATCATTGGGCACAAATGCTTTTGCAAGGTAGCTTTGATGGCAGAGGAGTGCATCATTTTTTCAGCATGGATGTGGTTTTTGTGTCTCCTACCACACTAGATCTATGCATCCATTAGTTTAATTTTTTGGTACAAATCTTAAAACAAACTGTGCTCCTTACAAAGACTGTGCTCGGGGTCCACAGCCTACTTTTAGGCTTTTGTGTTTACTGTTCAAACACTTTCCAAGGTTGTGGTAGCTGCCATCTACTGCTGCTATCACTCTCCCTTTGGTTTTACTGAGAAATGGTATCATTTTTTGTCAGGTAAATCGTAATCCTAGTGAAAAGGGTTTCAATATAAGCATTTCCCCCTTATTCTATTTCCTATGCATTTGTTCATGGGAACGTGAAGGATCTGACCAGGCCATGTTTGGTGGGTGCTAGTTACACTGTTCTGAGTAGGAAAAAGCTTCTTCATTGTTGCATCCAGCCTTAAGCTTCTACACAGACAAAAGCAAGCTGTGGAGCAAAGGAAGAAGATAAGTTGGCTGCGCTTGTCTCTGTGTTGATCCAGTTAATCTTCTGGGGTAGATATTTCTCTGATAGAACTGGCTTGCTTGTTGGGCAGCAAGCAGAGAGAAATGCAGAGAAAGAGAAAAGACCAGAACCACACTTTTCAGAGGTCAAACCTAGACATCAGGACTTTATTCAAGTGAACAGAAAGAAGTTAAGACAAATAACGAGGATTATGGAATTTTACTTAGAGTGTAGTGAATGAAGATGGCTCCATCTATACTGCACCCTGGAGCAAGCCCTATATCCACACAGATGTGCCATCAGTGCCAAACAGATGGAAGTATTCCAAGCCACCCTAATTTCTGGTCTTGATTAAAAATATTGCCCTGGCTGTGAGCTAGAACTACATTTGTTAAGCAAGATCTTAAGCCATTCTGTTTTGAAGGATTCTTTTGAATTACAAAAAATTGCTCTAAAAATTGAAGAGGAGGAAGTGGTCTGAGGGTATCTGGCCTGACATCTAGAAGAGCTATGTAACGTACAATGCTCCTTGAATCACATCCAGATTTCTACAGTAGAAATGTTCTGAATGATTTTTCAGGGCAGGAAACTGACCATTTAAAATAACTACTCAGAAAAGAGTTGCCATTTGATATAAACTATTTGCATATATGCATATAACACACACTCACTGATTGACTTGGAGCAAATGTTTCTTAGATTTTTAATTTAACTACAGGGCCAGATTTTTCCTTTTAGTAGTTTGCATAACATTTTGAATATTCCTGTATTTTGAATATTCCTTTCATCCCTATTGTTTTTGTTTTTGTTTTTTTGGTACTGGGGACTGAACTCAGGACCTTGAATTTGCCAGGTGCAGCACCACTGAGCTACACCCCGAACTCCTTTCATCCCTACTGTGAGTCCACAAGATGGCAATGTCTTCTCAGGGATCCTGAAGACAGTTCTCAAGCGGTCCTCTGTGTGTGTGTGTGTGTGTGTGTCTAGAGAGAGAGAGAGAGAGAGAGAGAGAGAGAGAGAGGCAGCACAGGGAGGGGATTGTTGCTATAGCAGGGAGATGAAAAGAACCTCATTTTTTTTTTGGTACTGGGGATTGAACTTGGGACCTTGTGCTTGTGCACAAGGTGCTGGCTGGAACCACTGAGCTAAATCCTCAGCCCCCTCATTTTTTTTTTTTTGAATTGTGAGAACGGACTCTTTAGGTTTCCTGAACTAGAAGCATCTGAAAAGTTCTCATTTTTTTGTGGCTTAAACTCTGAATCCTCAGTTAACCAGGAAGAAAGAACGATGGACTTCTTCAGTGTTTTGCTAGTGATCCTGTGGCTTCAGTTTATCAGTTAGTTTTGGCGTATCTATAGTAATATAATGTACAATATATGAAGTAGCATCTCTTTAAAGACTATTGGTGGTTTTACCTTCTAAAGAAATGGGGATGGGAGACCCATTAAAAGATAATTTTTATTCTGGAGAGTAAGCGCTACTACCTAACCAATCTTCTTTACCTGTTGTCTTTTTGCCCAGGGGTGAGCAGCCAGCAGAAGGAGGTGGAGCAGAGTCCTGAGACCCTCAGTGTTCCAGAGGGAGCCATTGCCTCTTTCAGCTGCACTTACAGGGACAGTGCTTCTCAGAACTTCAGGTGGTACCGACAGTATCCTGGGAAAGGCCCCAAGTTGCTGATGTCCATATACTCTAGTGGTGACCAAGAAGAAGGGAGATTCACAGTGCAGCTCAACCGAGCCAGCCGGCATGTTTCCCTGTACATCAGAGACTCCCAGCACAGTGACTCAGCCACCTACCTCTGCGCAGCGAGCACACAGTGCTTCCCAGGCACCTGCAGCCTGAACCCAAACCACAGGGCCCCAGGCAGGCCTGAGGCAGAGCAGAGACCACAGGGCAGGAGATTTTATACCTGCTCCAGATGCAGTAGGAATTAAGAACAATAGTGGGAAGGGTTTGATAGACTAGGGAAGTATTTTTAACAATTATGAAAATAACTGATGGGAAAGTTTATAGGTATGAAACTGTCACTATAAATCATTCCATAAACATAACACTTGCCTATAGATGTTTTAAGTCATAATTGTTTTAGTTGTAGATCTCCTATGTCATCTCCACTCTCAGCTGCAACTCCTTTTCTATATTAGATAAGGACAGCTTGGAGTGAGGAGTGGAAGGAAGGACTAGAGTCAGAATGTGAGGACTGGTAGAAACGAAACACTCAGATGGTTGCGGTGATCAAAGATGGAAGAGGGTCTGTTCTTGAGTACAGACTGAGAGGGTCTCAGAGTTACCTGCCTGAGTCTTGATTCATGTGCCCTGGGGTGTGACATGGGAATGTGAGAAATATCAGCCATGGCCGTAGAGGGCTGAACACCACAGAAGGGGATGGGAGCATGAGAAGGACCTCTGAGAAGGTGTCTAGAACAGCTCCAGGCACCAAGGGTTTTGTGCTGGTGACTGAAAGTTTGCTTGGTGCTATTACAGAACCCATGGCATTGAGTGTATTTTGGCAAACGGTGAGGATAGTTGGAGACATTAAAGATCATATACTTGTTTCACTCCCAATTCCTGTACACTGTGGATTTTCCTTGTACTTACACTAAATCCAGAAAAAATATTTGTGGCTTGAAAGAAATGAGATCTTATGATACATTTTAAGTTGAATTATAGGGGAAAAATTAAAAGCCACATAGACTGCAAATATGACATTATGGTGTTAGTTATGACATTGTTTACATAGTTCAGGAGTCAGAAATACTAGAAAACAGGGAATTAAGATTTATTTATTTATTTTTTGGTATCGGGGATTGAACTTGGGACCTTACACTTGCAAGGCAGGCGGCAAAACCACTGAGCTATATCCCCAGCCCAGAAGTTAAGATTTCTATTCAGCTTTCTTCACATTGCCACTAAGCAATTCAACACAATTAGGATTTGCTTCAAATTCTCAACCTGAAGAATTGACCCTGAACAAATATTTCTAAGGAGGGAAAAAATATTTGGAAGATAATGAGAAGAGCAGAAAACTGTGGAAGAATCAAGATACTTAAATTTTGGCTCTACTTTTCTGGAGTGGGATTCTTGCTTTACTATAAATATGTCTCAAATGATATTACACATGCCTTTAAAATAATTTAAAAAATATTCCCATTTTCTTGGTAGTATAGACCCTGAAGCAGAAAGATTCTTGAATCCAGGAATAGGAGACCAGCTTGGACAACATAGTAAGGTTCTATCTCAAAAAAGAAAAAAAAAATCCCATGAATTGATCAAAAGAGGTGGAAGATTTGTGTTCAAAGAAATTTATCCCAGGCTTCTACTTCTATTACATCAGAGACTGAAATTTTCACTTTTGTTTCTTTGGCTGTAGGCATATATATAGTTTCTTCCAGCTTTAGCTTGGTACACCTTTTCGTTTTTTTAGTTTCTCTGTTAGAATATTTGTCCTTTCATTATGCACTTATTTCTCTCAGGGCTACATTTTTCAAGTCAAGATTTTTTTTAACCTTGAGGTAAGAAAATTTAATACAAGATCTACTATTTTAACAAAATTTCAAGTTAAAAATTCAGGATAGTTAATATGGGTATGATATCACACACTATATTACACACAATATTACAATTTCTCTAGAATTTATTCATTTGTGTATGTGGAACTTTCTACTCCTTGACCAGTATCCTCCCATTAGCTCTTTTGCCTAGCCCCTAGCAACTACTATTTTTGGGGGGGAGGGGGGCGGTACCGGGGATCGGACTCAGGACCTTGGGCTTTAGAGGCAGGCGGCGGAACCACTGAGCTAAGTCCGAAGCCCTAGCAACTAGTATTCTAATTCTGTGCTTCTATGAGTTTGATTATTTTAGAATCATGCAATGTTTGCCCTTCTATGAATGGCTTATTTCACTGACCATAATGTTCTCAAGGTTTATGAATGTTGTCACACATGGCACAAGCACAGTCTCTTTTTCATTGTACAACACATTTCTTTATCCTTCACCCATTGACTCACATTTACTTTGTTTCCACATCTTCACTATTGCAAACAGTCTGGCAACAAACAAAAGAACGTAAATATTTCTTTGCAATATCCATTTCAATTGTTTTGGATAAATACAAAACGTTTCTGATTTCTCCTCTTACAAACACTTGCATATCTTTTTTTTTTTTCATAATCCTAACATGTTTAAGGTGCTATTTCATTCTAATGTCAGGTTTCCCTGATGATAAATAATGTTGAGCACCTTTTTTATATGTCTTTTCCCATTTTGATGTCTTTGGAGAAATATCTGCTCAAATCCTTTGCCCATTTGTGAATTAGGTTATTTTAGCTGGGCATAGTGGCCCATGCCTTTCATCCCAGCATTTTGGGAAGCTGAAATAAAAGGATTGCAAATTTGAGCCCAGCTTGGGCAATTTAGCAATTCAGTGAGACCTGTCTCAAATTAAGAATAAAAAAGGACTGGGAAGCACTGTGAGAAGGCTCTGGTTTCAATTCCCAGTACCACAAAGAAAAAGAAAATCAGGCTTTCAGCTTTTGCTATTGACCTATTCAGTTCTACGAGTATTTATGTATTTTGGAAATTGGCCTCTTATCAGAGATAGTGTGCAAATATTTTCTCTCATTGCAGAGTACTTTTGTTTTCTGGCGACTGTTTCCAGAGCTGTGAAAAAACCATTTGTCTGATGTAGTCCCTTTTATCTCCTTTTGCTTTGTTGCCTGAGCTTTTCATGTCATATTTAGGAATTGGTCATTGCCAAACAGTTTTTTGCCTGTGCTTTTCCCCAGAATGTTCACAATTTTAAGTCTTAAATTTAAGTCTTAATATATTTTGAGTTGAATTTTTTTACATGGACTATGAACTAAAAGTCTAGTGTCATCATTTTGGAAGTGGCTACCCAATTTTCTCAAGACCATTTCTAAAAGGAACTATCCTCCCCTCTTGATTTCCTCATACTCTTGACTGAGACCAGTTGAGTGTACAGGCATGGGTCCTTTGCTGCATTCCATTCGTTTATGTGTTTGTTGTAATGATGCCATTGCAATGTTTAATTACTGTATCTTGGTAATATATTCTGAAAGTTTCATCTTTGTTCTTTTATTTCAAGGTTGTCTTAGCCATTTGGGGGCATTTGTGGCTCCATATGAATTTTAGGAATTGAATTCTATGAATTTTTTTCTATTTCTGTAAGAATGCCATTGAGATTTCAGTTGAGATTACACTGACTCTCTAGATTGCTTTGGATATAATGGATACTTTGTCAATAACAATTCTTCCAGTACATTAGCATGAGATGTCTTTCCATTTATTTGTATCTTTAATTTCTTTCATCAATGTTTTATAGTTTTCAGTATGCAAGTCTTTCATCTCTTCAAACTTAAGCACTGTATTTTAAGGTTTCTAAAGCTATTTGAAATAATATTGTTTTCCTAATTTGCATTTTGAATAGTTCATTGTTAGTATACAGAAATAAAATTCAGTTCTGTATATTGATTTTGTATTTTGCAGCTTAATTTATTAATTCTAAGAATTTTTGAGTGGTTTAAAAGGGTTCATTATACAAATAAGATCATGTCATATGCAAAGAGACATAATTTTACTTCCTTTTTAATTTGGATGTGTCTTTATTTGTTTGTCTGCTTTATCTGAGATCTTCTCACTCTACATGTTTGCAGTATAAAATTATTACATTTCTTTTGGGGAGTTGGTACATGTAACACATCTTAATTCTTTTTTGCATCCTCTTCCTCTCCTTCCAACTCCTGGTCCCCTTCCCTTTTGCAAAAGATCTATCTTTTGTATCTAATTTATTTAGATAAATAAGTCTAATGTGTATCTAATTTATTTCACTTATCATTATGGTCTCAAAGTGCATCCATTTTCCTACAAATTACTCCTTTATTCTTCTTTATGGCAGAGTAGTACTCATGGACTCTAATTGTTTGCTAAATTGGCCATTCATGTTTTGAACAGTTTTGCTTAGCTGTTAATATTTCATTTGCATCTTTTTAATCATTTTGTTTTCAAGCATGTTATCTCTAGTCATATCTTCTTTGAGCTCCCCTAGTCTCTTTTATTCTTTTTTATCATTTTGTACCATTCAACCATTTGATTTTTGGGGTTTTTTCCTCACTTATGTCTCTTGGATCTGCTTTGGGGTAGGTGAGAGTTTTGGGAGGCATTTTATTGTCTTAGTTTTCTCCTGCATTTATGTGTGTGCATGCACACACACACATACACACCAGTCGGGGTTGAGGATCAACTGGAGTGGAAAGACTGTTGATAGTATGAAAATCTCTTTAGCTGGTTTCTGCATTACCAGTGAGGTGATGTTGGCTTTGTTTGCTTCTTAGCTACATCTTTGCCTACTCAGTTTAATGAGATTGGACCTGGTCACTGCTTTCCATGGATGATTCAGTCTTCCCATGTGGTTGCCACTACCTAGTGGGCGGTCTTCTAACTCCTTTGTTTAATTTCTTATTCTGATATGTTTATGCATAGAATGTGATCTCTTGCTTCTGGTGTAATTTAATATAAATTCCAAGATGACTCCACATAATCTTTGAGGAGCACGACTCCTATGTAACATCTTTACACGGCGCTACAGTGCCACAACTAGATTCATTCCTGGGAGCTTATTTCACAGATTTATTTCTTCCCTGGAAAGGAAAGAGAGTTTCTAGGTTTTCCCTGAGGGAAGGATGCATTTAGTGAATGTTAGCTACTCAAAAATTATTATAAAAGAAAAATGAATGAGGCCAATCTGGGGCACAAAAAATACATTTCTCCATCTACCTGGCCTTAAACTGGTCCTTTCCTAGTGTCTCTGAAGAAACAAGGGATTAGATGTGTGATCTGAGCAGAGAGCTGGGTTCAGTTTCTGGATTACTGGGAAACTCTCAGTCACCTTCGATGGCAGAATTGTGACTATGATCCC